ATCGTCCCCCACCCTTCATCGAGTAGCAGCAGAGGCTATGGCCAACACTCTCCCACACACCACACTCGCGCTCACGCTCACACCCGTGTTGGTCATAGACCCCGCTAATACCGATAAGGGGTATCCAGAGGACTATCACAGTCCGTTGGCACTAAGTGCGCCGCAGGCGGCCATGGGGCTTGAACCCACAACCTCCTGAATGCCACTTGCATGCCTAACCAACTGAGCTAGGCCGCTGGATATATTTCTATTTCAGAGATGTGTGCATGTTTGTTTGTTTGCATATTTCTATCAGAGATTAGGGTTGTGAGCCTCGAGTTTGGGGCTTTTTTTGTGGCCAGTTATTAGGGGGTTTAGTATTTTTGATTGAATTGCTCGCTGCAGTTGGGGATGGGATAGGTCAGGGGCATGGTCCCACTAGCAACGGGATAGGATAGAAACGAGTTTGTGGGGCAATTGAGTGACCCGAATCCTACCGTGCAGTACTCGTGATCCCAGGGTCAGCATTTTTTACGTATTACCCAAAAAATTAAGGAGATCTTTGTTCCCCTCCTCTCCTTAACACTGGGCATGCCGGTGCAAAGAAAGCTTCCCGCCAGAATCTTTTCAATCGGTTGGGGGCGTGGCCAACCCCAAAAGAGGGTGGGGTCGGCCATAGGCCCACTGGATAGAAGATTTTCAGTACTTTACTTGGTGTTGTGCAATTATCTCATTGGGTGGAGCCCTCCTTCAATCACGGAGTACATGGAGGGTGTCAGGATCACTGCTGACAGAAGTCGAGTTTATTCCAGAAAAGGTGGCTGTTACTTTGTTCACTGTTGTTGCAACCACCACCATCAGATCACTTGCGATCTGATGGCTGGGAAGCACTCTGCCAGGATTTCCAGTGGGAGGTCTCTGTTTCTTTTCTTTTCTTCAGAAATCAAACAGCATCATACACATGAGACCAGATAGTCGTGACCTCGAACCAGTAGCAGAATTGCATCATGAGTTTCACCAAATAAGAACACAGCAAAAGCTCATAATTGACAAATATGCTGGAGTAGTCTCATCATCATCAACGAAGCACCAATGTCGATATCCTATCTGGCGCTCGGCGCCCAGACTACAGATGGCAGATCCTATCTAGCCGAGTCTACAATGCCGCTGATGACGTCAACAGCTCCCCGAAGCACGAGTAGATCTCGGCCAATGCCGTACGCCTCAAGCACCAGGTATGTCTCTCGTATCACTCACAACCTCGATCCCCAACTCACAAATGCCACATGCACCCAACAACCACCATGCGCCCCATCCAGCATACAGCAGCTCAGCTTGGCTATGGATGCCTGCTCCTACCAGCTCGCCCGTGAGCGCATGAGCGCTGGCCAGCGTTAGCGCAGCAGCGCTTGCGCAGCATGCAGCCAGTGCCCGAATGCCCAATGCGTGGGCAGGCACTTTCCTAAATGGACATGCCTGCCCGCTTGCGTGCAGCCTGGCCTGCCCAAAAGCTTCCGGTACGCTCCACGAGGCTGCGCCTCAGACCAAATGAATTCAGGCACAGGGCCTGTGATGGTTACCTGTGCCCAACTGTCCGAAGCCTGTGTTCTGTCCACATTGCGTATCTGGCCCAGGGCCTGCCTTAGTTACATTCGATAAAGGCGCGTATCTGGCCCAGGGCCTGCCTTAGTTACATTCGATAAAGGCGCGTATCTGGCCCAGGGCCTGCCTTAGTTACATTCGATAAAGGCAGCCTGGGCCTGAGCGCTCTTAACCAACTGGTGCTGCGCAACTGCCTGATTTTTCCCAGTTGCGTGGTGACCCCAAAAAAATGGCCTGTAGGCCTCGGTCTAGCCTGCCTTCACTTAGGGCGGCCGACTGTGCTGAAAATAGGGCCAGCAGGGCGTATAGAGGCCTTGTGCCTCGCACTGTTTTCTCAGCCCAGAAATTCATTTCGTAATGAACCTGTCAGGCCGCTGCCACTCAGTGTCACACTGGAT